CCTCATGTCTGCGTCCCTAGGGCCCACATGCGTCCACTCTGCTGTACAGGTGCCAGGCACCCTGCTGGGGTGAGCAGAAACAGACCCGGACCCTGCTCCTGGACCTTGATCTGACAACAAAGATTGATGCTCTTGGTTTAGCTCATAAAACTAAATGTTTAATTACTGACTGTGATGAGTGCTATGCAGAAGACGTACAGGGGCTTAGGGTATGAAAAATGGGGACTATACCCCAGCCTGGAAGTCAGGGAGGCTTCCCTGAAAAAGGAATATTTGAGCTGAGATCTCAAGCTTGAATAGACATCAACTAGGCGAAGTCGGGAGAGAAGAGAGGTCCAGAGAGAGGAAATTATGTGCAAAGGCCCTGTGGCCAGAGGGAAGATGGAGTCTCTGAAGAACCTGAAGAGGGCGGGTGAGGCTGGAGCAGAGAGAGCAAGAAGGAGAGTGTTAAGATGTGAGGCACAGGCCAGATCCGAACTTAGGTTTCTGAGAGCAGTAGAAAGTCACTGAAGGGACATGAGCTGCTTTGAGGTAAGCAAGTGTGTTGGGGTAGAGGGGTGCAGCTTAAACAGATTTGTGCCTCCCGATCACTGGCTGCAGTAAGGAGATGGGATTTTAGGGGCAAGAGAGGATGCTGGGAGATGAATAAGGAGGCCTTTGCAGGAGTCCTGGTGACAGATGCTGGGGCTTGGACCAGGCTAGCGGTCCAGAGCTAGAGAGAAGTATACCAGAGCACTTGAGGGGTAGAACCAGCAGGGCCGGAGGCCTGGCCAGAGAGGGTATTTGCGGAATGAGTGGTTGGTGAACAGTAGGAGGCACAGGATCTGTCCCCAATGGGGTTCCAATTGCAGGGACTGCCTGGGGGGTGGAGAAGGGTAACTTCCTTGGGGGTGGAGGTGGCACCCGTGGGAAAGGAGGATTTACAAACCCAGGCCAGCACCAGCAAAAGAGTGACAGGCCAGAGACACAGAGGAGAAAAAGGCTTGGGCCCTGTCCTTAGGAGCTCATAACCAGAGACTGAGAGGAGAGTCAATGTTACTGCCAACTACAGAGCTGGGGAACAGCTACCTTGCTGGCCTGGAGAAGGAGGAGGTAGTGACTGAGGTATTGGCCACCAGGAGAAGATGCTTCCCTGCTGGTTTCAGAACTCCAGCACAGGCTGCCTCGGACAGCAGTGCAGGCTAAGCCTTGCACGACGCCATGTGTGAATGGTGCCCCTGGACTCATGCAGCGCAGCAGCCCTGGGGAGCTGCCAGTGGCTGGCGTGTAAGCCAGTTGGGTCCTATGTCATGGGCTGCCAGCTGAGCTTGGCCAACTTAAGTTCCATAGAGCTTGGCTGCAAGGCAGAGAGTACTATGGTGGCCTGGAAGGACAGGTCTGATCCCCAAAACGCCACTTCTAGAGCTGGGGATACTAACCGCGTAATCAGACACATTGTGGGCTCAAGGAGAAAGGGTCCCAAGTGCTCTGGCCTCAGGGAGTGCCCAACAGGCTGGCACCTGACCCAGGGGGCCTCTCAGAACACTGACAGCTGTCCAACCTCGAACCCAGACCCTCTAAGTTTCAACAAATGATGACGCAATGCTAGGCCTCCTTGAGTCTCAGTTTTGCCTTTCTCAGAATGTTGTTTTGAAATGCACAAAATAAAATGCATGGGATTACAATGGAGACCAATTATTTTGAAATACAGTTATAAAAATATAAAAAAATGAATTGCAATTCCAAAATATACGTACTTCCTTATTAGTGTAGTAAGCCAGATTTAGTGTTGGTAGAATAACTACCATAATTTCATGATAATGTTGGCTATAAACATTATGTTGAGATATATCCTGAAATAACTGCAGCAACTGATCTGGGCAGATCTCCAATATCTCATGGACACCATCAACTGGCTGAGACAAAGTCACCAGTAATACTGTTATGATTTTGTTGCCTATGTTCATAACCTTAGTTAAATGTTAGTGAATAGATGGAATAGTTTCCCCGTCTAACTTCATATACCCTCGGAATTCCATGCCCTTGTTAAGAACCCCATGATCCAGGACAAAGTCAGCAAGTCATGCTACAGCTTGACAGGCTGCCCATTGTGCACATAGGGCACAATGCCTGGGATGAGGACACAGGGCCAAAGACACCGGGGTTAGGGAAGGCTTCTGCATGGAGCTTTAAGACAGATTTTGGGTTTTGATCCAGAGAAGGATCTGGAGAAGGATCCGGCATACTTTTTTTTTTTTTTTTTTGAGACAGAGTCTTACTTCATTGCCCCGACTAGAGTGGCGTCAGCCTGGCTCACAGAAACCTCAGACTCCTGGGCTCAAACGATCCTCCTGCCTCAGCCTCCCAAGTAGCTGGGACTACAGGCATGCGCCACGACGCCCAGCTACTTTTTCTAATTCTAATAGAGACGGGATCTCACTCTTGCTCAGGCTGGTCTTGAACTCCTGAGCTCAAGCGATCCTCCCGCCTCAGCCTCCCAGAGTGCTAGGATTACAGGCCTGAGCCACCACACCTGGCCAGACCCAGCATACTTGTAAAGGGTGAGTGGACCATATATTAAACACACTGGAGCTCGAAGAGGCAGATTTGATTAACAACTCCCTTTGGAATGTGGAAATAGGGTCTCAAAAGTGAAGCAACTTGGCCAGGCACAGTGGCTCATGCCTGTAATCCCAGCACTTTGGGAGGCCGAAAGGGGAGGACTGCTTGAGGCCAGGATTTTGAGACTAGTCTGGGCAACACAGTGAGACCCTTTCTCTACGAAAAAAAAAAACAAAAACAAAGAAAGAAAGAAAGGAAAAATAGCCAGGCGTGATGGCATGCACTTGTACTCTTAGCTAGTTGGGGGGCTGAGAAAAAAATTAAATTAAAAATTTAAAAATGTGAAGCAACTTGACAGAGCCAGGCAGCAGGAGGTGGCAGGCTCTGAGGAAGACAGTTCTGTTTCGATTCAGAGCTCATACCCCCTCTCCCCACAGTGGTCACAGGGAGCCCAAGACTGAGGACACCCTCAAATGCAAGGGGTTGAGCTGAGTGTAGAAGGTGAAAGCCGGAAAGGAGACGGCCTGGCTTCTCCACCGACTATTTGTGTGGCTCTGAGACATTTATGCAATGTATTTGCACCTTTCTTTTTTCATCAGTGAAATGGGGACAATAGTCATTACCTCACAGAGCAACCAAATGCAATGAAAGAAAGCACTGGAAGCACATAGGGCACAATGCCTGGCATGGAGTAGTCCTTAAGATCCCTCCACGGAGCTTTCTTCTTGAATCAGCAGAGTGATTCCACCCCAGCCCCCCTCCTTGTCTCTGGTCAGAGAGTTCTGGGTGGGCAGGGTGGGGGACACCAGGGTCCAGAGGGGCTGGCCTGCCCTTAGCCCGAGGGGAGGGTAGCTGGCCATTCGATCATTGCAGCTGAGGAAACACCGGCATCAGCAGAATCCTGCGGGGGTGGGGGCGGGGGTGGGTCTCTGGTTGAGGGTAAAGGTGGCCCCACCTCTGGGGCTGATGAGTTTATGTCCAGGGTGAGGAGAAGGGCCAGAGCTTTCGTGGAAAGAGAGCTTGGCGTCAGACAGAGTTGGCGGGGCCGTGTGCGGTTGTGCAGGCTGCGCACTGGACGAACCCAGGGGCCCCATTTACGTAGAGGACAAGGGGAATGCTCTTGGGTAGCGCTTGGAGTTACACAATCCAGATCCCTTACCTGAGTTCCAGCCAGGCTCTGCCACTCCCTTGTTCTGCAACCTTGAGCAAGCCACTTACCCTCTGAGCCCATCTGTAAGGTGGGACCACCGCACCCACCTTAATGGCTGTTACGTTTTCATGTGACAAAAATGGATAGCAGTAAGAATTGCTCTATAAACAGCAGCTTCCTCTTCCCCCAGGCCACTCCCTGCTCCTACCGCAGGGGACTCTTAGGGAACTTTAGGGTACTGCGGGTGTGAAGTACTAAGGGGTGAGCCCAGCCTGCACCAGGTGGAGAGAACAAGAAGGGCAGGGCAATTGGGACAGGTAAGGGCCACCAGCCTCACTGTCCAGCTAGCCCCAGCGAGCAGCCCCTTCCTTTGGCAAACGAAGAGCAGGCAGGCACCAGCCCTTGGAGAGCCTCAGATGCGGATGCAGGAGCCTCTCTCCTGGAGGCCTCCTGGCTAATCATTCCCCAGCCCTGGGAGAGGCTCTGTCAAGGAGGGTGGGCCTCCATTCCTGCCCAGGTCCCCTCCCAGGCCTGAGGCTCCTCTAGGCTTGGGGGCCTCATGAGGAAAAAGGGCGCTTTGGAGCAAAGACTCACAAGGCTATGACTCGAGGTTGCCCCGCAATCCCCTGCTCAAGACTGGGATGCAGGACACTTTCGCACAGTTTACAATGTAAATGGTGCCTTGGAGTTGTGTCATCAGCAGCCACACCAGGATCGCTGGGAAAGAGACTCTCCACCGTTCCCAAAGCTTTTCAGTGATTCATTCATTCAGGCAAGATTTGCTCCAAAACCTGCTGGGTCCTGAGTCTAAGGATCCAGATGCCACAAAACTGACTGTGTCCTCATGGAGCTCACCTGGTAGCAGACACTAAATAGCCATACAAATAGATACATTCTTACACGCTGTGGTAAGAGCCAGGGAGGGCCAGGGTGCTGGGCAGGGGTCCACACTGCCCGGGTCCCACTGCTTCCTCTGACAGCCCCCATCTCATCTCGGGATCCTCACCTGGGCCCTCTGCAAGCCCCTTGGGCTGGCCGGGGACTGATAGCCAACTGCAGACTCCCCTGCATGGCTGGTTTATAATGTCCAGGCTCTCCAAGGTCAAAGACAAGGTGGTGAGTGCCTTGCTTTGGTTTTTCTTTCCATTTTGAAAAGAGATCTTGGACTTGGGAATTGATGAGCGTGGGTTTAACAAGCTCTCTCCAGACTGTTACAAACGTCCTGGTTTCTCTGGAGGGCAGGAGGTGGCATGACTCTGGGACACAGCCTGCCCCTCTGACAGCCCTGCCCCTGACCTCCCGCCTGCAGGAGGCCTACTGCGCCTATGCCATCATCCTCATGGCGCTCTTCTGGTGCACCGAGGCTCTGCCCCTGGCCGTCACCGCACTCTTCCCCATCATCCTGTTCCCCATGATGGGCATCATGGACGCCTCTGAGGTGAGCCCCCATCCACAGCAGAAAGGGTTCCTGAGGGTGGGGTGTCTTCCCTTGGATCCTGGTGCCCAAGGAAACCTCATGACAGGCAGGGCGCATGGAAGAGGGGTCCCTGCCTCAGCTTGGAGAGAGCACAGAGGGAAAAGTCAGCTAGAAATGCCAAGTGCAGGCTGGTGTTGAGAGTGCATTCAAAGTGAGAGTGATTAGCCTCAGGCTGGGGAGGTGGAAGGCTTTAGGGTATTGCGGGTGTGACCTAGGACCCAGGAAAAGGGCCTTGAAGGCCAGCTAAAGAGCTCCTGTACTTCTAGTTCAGTGGCTCTTGGACTTGCATGAGCATGAGAATCACCTGGAGGGTTTTCACGGGCCCTGGGCCCTGCCCGGAGTTTCTGATTCAGGAGACCTGAGGTGGGGCCCACACAGCTCGTTCCTGACAAGTCCCAGGTGATGCTGAGGCATCAGGGACCACACTTTGAGAACTGCTACTCTGGTTTCTAGAAACAGCACTAGATTATCTATCTCCCAGTCTATGGCTTGAAACATGAATGGAATCAGGTTAGATTATCCCCCAATCATTCCTGAGCAGAGAAAGAGTGAGTTTGGCAAGAAGAGGGGAGCTTGGTCAATATTAAGTGGCAGATAATCCAAAGATTATTTCCATCAGGTTCCGAGAGCCCAGGGGAATGCCAGTTTGTGGGAATGTCAGTGACTGCGCCCCACACACCCAGAGGCACAAGGGGAGGCCCAGGGTCTTCCTGCCTCTCAGCCGTGTCCCTGCCTGCCAGGTCTGCATTGAGTACCTTTCAGACTCCAACGTCCTGTTTCTCGGGGGCCTGATGGTGGCCATCGCAGTCGAGCACTGGAACCTGCACAAACGCATCGCCCTCCGCGTGCTCCTCATCGTCGGGGTGCGGCCTGCCCTGTGAGTTCCCACAAGCCAGGGCGGGAGAACCTGGAGTGGGGTGACCTTCTGGGCATGCAGTCCCTGGAGGAAGGCTGGAGCCGCTGTGTGTCCGTCTGCCCACCCCTAGGCTGCTCCTGGGCTTCATGCTGGTCACTGCCTTCCTGTCCATGTGGATCAGCAACACGGCCACCACGGCCATGATGGTGCCCATTGCGCACGCTGTCCTGAAGCAGCTGCACAGCTCAAAAGCCAGCGGGGACCTCGAGGAGGGCAGAGAAAACCCCACCTTCGAGCTCCAGGAACAAAGTCCCCAGAAGGAGGTGACCAAGCCTGGTGAGAAAGACAAGACCAGACCCTGTCCCAACCCCTTGGTTCCTAAGGAGGACCAGAGGGGTGGTCTATTTTGAGGGGTGGTCATCTTGGACCCTTTGGGGAGAGAAGGAGGCAAGAGGTACAGGGACCAACTCATTCCAGTTTGTCTGGGACTTCCCATGTGCGGGGAATCCCCTCCGTCCTGGGACAACCAAGTGCTTGGTCGCCCCAGCAAGAAGAGGGCTGGAGTCCAGGTGGGCAGTCAGGGCTCTAGGCTCCATTCTTCCTGTGTGCTTTCAATACTCCTCTTCCCTTCTCTGTGCCTTGGTTTCCCTATCTCAAGAAAGGTTGGACCAGATGGTGTCTGAAGGTGGTCCTAGCCTGAGACTCCAGGGGTGCTGGGCCCACTCCAACCTGGACACAGCCTCTGTCCTCTTCCCAGCCCAGGTCTGGGCTGTTCATGAATAAAGTGCCCTGGAGGCCATGGAGCCAGCCCCCGCCACGTTCCCTGGAGCCTGCCCTCACCTCAGCTCTTTCTTGTTCCCAGATAACACAGAGGCCCTCCCTGTCCCACCTGCTCCTTCGGAGCCCACGGCACACCAAACGCAGGAGCAGATCCTCTTCACCCAGGGCATGAGCCTGTGTGTGTGCTACGCAGCCAGCATCGGGGGCATCGCCACGCTGACTGGCACCACGCCCAACCTGGTGCTACAAGGCCAGGTCAACTCGTGAGTGCCGAGGGGAGGGCATGCTGTGGGGTCTGCACTCTCGCCAGGAGGCGAATGGGGCTGGGAAGCGGCCGGGGCAAGGTCACACAGCAGCCCGCATCCCCCTCCAGGCTCTTCCCCCAAAACGGCAACGTGGTGAACTTTGCCTCTTGGTTTGGCTTTGCCTTCCCCACCATGATCATCTTGCTGCTGCTGGCCTGGCTGTGGCTGCAGGTCCTCTTCCTGGGCTTCAAGTAAGTGGCAACGTAGGTGAGAGAAGCCCAGGTCCCTGCCCCTACCTCTGGGAGCTTCTGGTTGGGTCAGAGGTGGAAAGTGACGCAATCACCACCTTTGTGAGAAGGCCCCTCCCTCCCAGGGCCCCTCTGCGCCCTTGGACTCCCATTCGAGGAAATTACTGGATGGAGAGTACTACCCCATTTAGCAGACAAGCCAACTGAGGCTTGAGGAGTGGAACACAGCTAGATTTGTCAGTGGCGGGATTGAAAACCAGGTCTCCTGATGCCCAGGCCAGGCCGCTTCCCATCATGCTCCACAGCCCTTTGACAAGTACTTAAAGAGCATGCACTGAGCGCGGTCAGTTCCTGGAGCACGCACTGAGCATGGTCAGTTCCCACAGCATGCGGGGCCCTGAGAGTACTAGAAGGCATTCGGCACAGTCCCTGTCCTTGTAGCCCATCTGATGGGTGATGATATGACGGGGGCCGTGACAGAAGGCAGCCTGGATGCTGTGGGAACCTAGAGGTTGGAGCGCCTAGTTTAGCCCAGAGTAGTGAGGATACCAGAAGGCCCCTGGGAGGAGATAATGCCTCAGCTGAATCTTGCAGAACCAGAAGTCAGCCAGGTAGAGATGGGGGTAAAGGCATTCCAAGCAGCAAGAACAGCTTACACAAAGCACAGAGGCAAGAAAGGACACGATGTGTTTGGGGGAACTCTAGTTCTGTGGGGCTGAAACACAAAGAGCAAAAAGCAGCATCAGGACACGAAGCTGGAGAAGCAGGCAGGGCGAGACTATGGAGGGTCTTCTGTGCTACATAAAGAGTTTGAACCTTGTTTTTAAGGCCAAGAAAAGTAAATAGGTTTCATTTCTACTTCCAACTCTGGGTTACTGTTTAGAGCTCTGAGTTGAAAATCGTGGGAGACCCTGCTAAGGCTCAGTTGGAATCAAGTCTGTGATTGATTAGTGATGTCTGCAGTGAGTACAGGATAGGAGTGGTGGTATTAGAGTGTTACTGTGAGTTGTAATTTGCTCTTCCTGCCCGGGCACTGGGGAACCACTGAAAGTTTTTAAGCATTGTTGCTGCACTTTGGAAAATGCAAATGCAAGGAGGGTGAATTAAGGTTGGGTGGGAGCTGGTACAAGGCAAGGTGGTAGTCAAAGAGATCATCACAGTGCCAGGAACCACAGGGAAGTCAAAGATTTGTGAAGTACAGTCTTTGCCCTTGAGGAACTCACAGTCCAGCAGAGAAGTTGGGATTTACCCAAGTGAAAAGTTATATGTCAACACAAGTTAAGTAAGCGGCACTTACTTACTAGGGAAGTGGGCTGCAGCCTCCTGTGCCTCTGAGGACAATGCAGGGGGTGCTCAGGCTGGCAGAGGATACCCAGAAGCAGGTAAAGGAGGGAAGAGAGGATTTCCTGAAAGGCTGCTGGAGGAGGAGAACTGCGGTTCAGGGCCAGAGGGGGCATGGCGTTGGGCTGCTAGATCCTCCTCATCCTGGGCGAGGGAGGGTTCCGTACCACAGAATGCTTGAAGGGAAGGGGCTCAGTGGGGCAGATACAGCAGGGGCTGACGAGCAAGGAGTATGCCCCCCACGAGTCTGCCACTCCTCCTCCAGACCCTGGGGGTGTCCAGGGCCTTAGTGCAGCGACTCTGCAATGCCCGCTGAGGGCCTCAATCTTTACATCGCGGGCACTCATGGGCACCTTGCTTCCTGCCTGGTGCCGGCCCCTCTTGAGTTGCCCTGCCTTTCTGCCTGCAGCTTCCGAAAGAACTTTGGCTTCGGGGGACCGGTGCAGGAGCAAAAGCAAGCCGCCTTGCGCGTCATCCAGACAGAGCACAAGCTGCTGGGCCCCATGACCTTTGCGGAAAAGGCTGTCACTGTGCTTTTTGTCCTCCTGGTGCTGCTCTGGTTCACCCGGGAGCCGGGCTTTTTCCGTGGCTGGGGCAACCTGATTTTTTCCAATGCCAAGGGCGAAAGGTGAGACTTGCCAGGGAAGAGAGGAGGACACACCTGGTGCTCACATGCTTGGGGAGGAGGGTAGGGAGCAGGGCCTCAGCGCAGAATAGGAGGTAACACTTTCGGGGGGCTCCCCAGGCATGTCTGTGGGAGGGGATCCTCTCCATCACCCTCTACCCTGCAGCCCTGAGCAGCCCTGAGCCACTAAGCCTGCCCTCCCTTCCCTACCCACAGCATGGTGTCTGATGGGACAGTGGCCATCTTCATCGGCATAATTTTGTTCATCGTGCCCTCCAAGTTCCCAGGGCTGACCCAGAACCCAGGTAAGCACCTGGGCTGGGGCAGGGAAGGGTCTCCAGCAGCTCCTGCCTTCAGGCATGTCATGTACCTTCGACCACACTTGGCAGGAGTAGACAAAGCCCAGAGATGTTGGAGTGACCTGCCAAGGGCGCAGGGTCTCAGGGACAAAGCTGGGATGTTGCGGAACTGAGGGTCCCCCTCCTGCATGCATTGAGCTCTGATAGGGGCCAACACAGGGAGCCGCCAAGTGGAGGGGTGGAAAGGCCTGTTTGCTCTTGGTGACCCTCCTTCTCTGCTTGAGGAACAGAAGAACCGGGGAAGCTGAAGGCCCCCCCTCCCCTCCTCAACTGGAAGACAGTGAATGAGAAGATGCCCTGGAACATTGTATTATTGCTGGGTGGTGGCTTTGCCCTGGCCAAGGGCAGCGAGGTGAGAGACCCCCAGCCCACTCCCCGGCCTGTTTGAGGGAGACCCCATGGCAGGGAAAGAGGGGGCCCTGCTTCTATCCCATAGAGGGGATAGAAGCAGGGGATAGAACCCCACCATTTAGGACACCCCCTCCCCCGCCGTGGGCAGAGCCTTTGCTGTAGCCACAAGGCTTAGGTTAGAGCCCTCTCTGAGGAAGGAGGAAGAAACACAAGCCCTAGGGATCTCTTCCTAGTGTGGCTTCTCTGCCGGGTGAGGCCTGTTCTCCATGATTAATCCCATCCCACCCCAGCCCCTCACCCACTGCCAGACAGAGTATGCGCAGTAGCTTCAGCAGCCAAGCAGCTGGCGTTGGGTTGACACGGTCTGCCAGCCGCAGCCACCAGGGGGCACCATGATCACAGCCCCAGCCAGGCTCTGGGGACCAACACATCTTTCCCAGAGCCTCCGCCCAAAAGAGAGAAATCCCTGAAACTGCACCCTGGGCCTCAGTGTTCCAGATAAGCCCATTCACTGCAGGGACAGGAGGCAGGAATTGGCACAGGGAACTCCTGGGTCTGTGGTACGTTCTTCCATTGACCGCCAAGCGCTGTGCCAGATCCAATCCCATCTCCCTGGGGCTTAGCCTGGCATCACAGACATGGGCAGGGCAAGACCTCGGAGCTCTTCTGACCCTACGGACTGCCCGCATCCTCCCTCAGCCTCCTCCCAGCCTCTGTCAGGGCCCTCCCCCATCTCTCCCCCCTGCCAGGAGCAAGATCCCCTCTGCCCCAACCCACTGAGCTGGAGGGGGCCGAGAGAGGGCTAAGGTTGTCCAGAGACTTCCTGAGAGAGATCGGGAAGTCAATAGTAAATGGGGTCAAAGGTTTTTACTGCCACCAAGCCCCAGGTTTCCCAAGAAGGCCCTTTGGTCCCCTCTCCTAGTTTCTCATCTGACCCTTCTCTCCACACCCAGCTGCTCTTCAAGGGCAGGAGAGGGGACCCCTTGGTCCTTGCTGGGTCCTGTCTTCCCTTCAGAGTTGCCTTTGACTCTGAAGACTAGGGAGGTGTGGGCAGGAGCAGGACCCTCCCAGAGCCTCCGCAGAGGACTCTGGGCCCAGACAGCCTCAATTCTCACATACCACCCTCCTCTGCCCACAGGAATCAGGCCTATCAAAGTGGCTGGGGAACAAGCTAACCCCACTGGAGAGTGTGCCGCCTCCTGCCATTGCCATCATCCTTTGCCTTCTGGTTGCTGCCTTCACCGAGTGTGCTAGCAATGTGGCCACCATCACACTCTTCCTGCCCATCCTGGCCTCCATGGTGAGCTGGCCCTGCAGAAACACCTCCTCCAGGCAGCCCTCCTGCCTGCCCCCACCAGGGGTTCTGCCTGCTGGGCAGAGGAACCTGTCTTTGCACCTCCTCTTCTCCTGGAGAGGACCCCTGAGCCTCCACCTTTATCTAGGCTCTTGAGCTGCCTTAGGCCCTGAGGCACTCTGGCCCCTGACTCACCCCACCCTTGTGACGTCATCTCTTGAGTATCCTGATGGGGCTTGCTGGTGGCCTCACCCACCTCCCCACCCCAGTCCCTGTTCTGGTCATTCCTGAGGTGACGGGGTGAAATTGCCCCAAAGCGTCCCCAGCCCCTTCTTCCCCGAGTGCGTTCCTGCTGCCTTTGATGACACCCCTGGAGCCCCTTTGAGATCCGTTTTATGGGCCCCTCCCCTCACCACACCCGACAAGGCCGGGCGGCACACTCATTCCCTCCAGAGAGGTCAAGGGGCCCTTCCCAGGTCACCCCGTGCTTCTGGCAGAAGTGGTGGGTTCATGACCAGAGAACGTGTTGGGGGCAGGGGTTGTCCCCCAGAGGCGGGAAGCAGGAGAATTGGGCCACGCCCCCCTCCAGGATGGGGCCCAGGGTCAGCTGTGCTCCCCTGTCTCCTACTCAGGCTCAGGCCATCTGCCTGCACCCTCTCTACGTCATGCTCCCCTGCACTCTGGCTTCCTCCCTGGCCTTCATGCTGCCTGTGGCCACCCCACCCAATGCCATCGTCTTCTCTTTTGGGGACCTCAAAGTGTCTGACATGGTGAGTGGCAGGGAGGTCCTTCTTCCTGCTCTGTCTTTCCAGCTTGGTAGCTTAAAGCCGCTGAGATTCTCAGAGTGGAGAGTGGGCCCCATCTAGGGTGAGTATACAGTTGGGGAGGTGGGGACATGATCCCCCAGTTGTAGCATCTTCAGGCCCTGCCAGTCCCGGCCATGTGAGAGGGAGGGAAGGAGGTGAGGAACGTGGGGAAGGCTCTGAGGTGCCAGCCACCCACACTCAGGGAGAACAAAGCCCAGGGCCCTGGAAGCTCATGGGGAACGTCCCTTTCTTCCTGTTAGCACAGGGAGGAAAGCAGGGGCAAAGGCATTGGCTAGTGCTGCAAGTTGGACCAGAGGGAGGACTACCCAGGGGGCGTATTGCTAATGGGAGGGCTCCCCGAACACCTGAGGGATGGGAGCTGGCCCAGCTCAGCCTCTGACTCTCCTCACGCCAGGCCCGGGCGGGATTCCTGCTCAACATCATTGGGGTGCTGGTCATCGAACTGGCCATCAACAGCTGGAGCTTCTCCATCTTCAATCTGGACACCTTCCCCTCCTGGGCCCACTCCAACACCACAACCCACTGCCCAAACGACCTGGCCAACTCCACCACGCCTGGCCCCTAGACTGGAGCATGGCCTGGCGAGGCACGGGAAGACCGCCCTGCTCCCATTGCTCCAAGCTGGGAGGGGACACCCCCAGCTCCAAGCTCTGGGCCAAATGCTTAGAGAAAGGCACATATAATGTCTTGTGTGTCTGTGAGGAAGGTGTGTATGCGCAGTCTCCTGTGTGTCAGAGGAAAATATGTGTGTGCATGTGTATGTATGCATGTATGTGAGTATGGTGCGAGGATGTCTGGGGGGTTTGTGCGCGTGCACACGATCCTAGGCGTGTATGCTTCACAGTGCACATGTGCGTGTTCACACACGATACAACACGTCCTGTCTTGTGCCCGAGGTCTTTGTCTTCCCATCTTAGTGACCAGACCCCTTTGCACTGTATTTATTGAAACTCAGGCTTGCAGTGGCCTGGGAGGAGGGCCTACCAGTGGTTGCCATGGGAACAGCCCCTGGAACTGGCCCAGCATACTGAGGCCTCCCCAGCCTCTCAGGGTTTTGGGGAAGGTTTGAATATTAGTCACATTAAAGTCTTTTTCAGTAGAGTCTGGGATGGTTTTTCACAGCACTCTCCGGGGCTGGTCCACAACGTGGTTCAGGCCCCAGGTGGAGGGGTACGGTGGGAGGGGGCCTGTCCTCTGTCCTGCATGGCAGCCTCCTTGGCACCCCTCCCACCCAAGGGAGAAGATAATGGTCAGACACTCCTGCCAAGGCCCATCGGAGTGGGCGCAGCCACCGGGGAAAGCAGCACTGACATCACTGGGCCTGGCTAATTGGGAGCTGCCAGTCCCTGCGTGTCTTTGGGAAAACCGGCCTCCCCGTTCCCAGAGCGCGCTCCCTGGGCATTTACATAAAACCCTCTGCCCCTGCCAATTCCTCACCGACCCTTCCTCCATCTGGAAAAACAGGTCCCACCAGACCAGAAGAGGCAGGCTGACCCATGCTGGGTGCCCAGAAAGATGGACCCTCACCCAAAATGGCAGCCTGCAGCAAGAAGGGTACAGGTTAGACTCACAGGAACAGGCTCAAAACTGGCATGGCCTTCAGAGTCCAGGACCAGACAACTTTGGATGATTCTGCCTCCCTGCTCCACCTCTACCCCTCCTCCCCCCACCCCACCCTTCCCACTCTCATGGACTCCAGAGTTTTCATTTATCTACCAAGGTGGACGTGGGGGTGGGGAAGAATGATACCACATTCACCATCCATTCTGGGAGCTCAACAGCCCTTCCTGGTTGGAAATTCATCTTTGTGTCTATCCCAAGTCCCTCTCACTGTGACAGTGGCAAGTAAGCCTTGAGTCATCTAGAGGGAAGTTTCCTAGAGTCTTATCCAGTTCCCGCCTACTACAGTGGGCGAGAAGAGAGATTTACCACCACCTGCATGCCCGAATGAAAAGGGGGCTGAGCTGCGAGGAGAGGAAACCAGAAAGGTTTTCATGCTGGATCCCCCTGGGCTGGGCTTTCACTCGGTGCCCGGAGCTGGGGTTGGTGGGGAGTGCAGACAGGAGGGGGCTACCGTGCAGGGGAGAACACGGCTGTCCCCCGGGGACAGGGGATCCTGACAGGACATGCCAGACAGCCAGGAGAGCGAGGAGTGTCAGGTGAGCGGCTCCGCCCCCACCTGGCCCCCCAGGCTGGCATTCCTCACTCATGAAGCACAGTCATAAATCACAGCTCCCACCCAGACCCACACTAGGAGCCCCCCAGCCAAACCGCAGGTGACAGTCCTCCCCATCGGGAGTGGGCTGGCCGCAGAAGGGAGGGGGTCTCCCATGGCTTATCCATAATGCAGTGAGTCCCCGGGAGAAGCCCCGTCTGCAAGGAGAACCCTCTGCTACTACTTCCTTCTGGCCCCTGCTTGGGTACCTGCCGTCCAGCCCAGGCTGGGGAAAGCAGGCTGTGCTTCTCAGGGTGTACGTGCCCTGCCCACTGTTCTCAGTCCCACTTGCCCCTAAGTCCTGCTCAGAGAGGGCCAGGTGTGGACTGAGGTCACACAGCAGTCCCAGCAAGTGAGGACCGGGCTGGTCCTGCCTTCTCAGGGGAAGGAAGTGGACGTGAGCTGGCCTGATGGTTGAGAGGTCAGCCGTGGTGGGTGACCTCGCAGAGCCAAGCCTCCCCCAGATGCTCAGAAACCACCCTCCTCGGCAGGCAGGAGGATGGACGGGTGGCAGGCGGCACCTGTCGGCCTAATCACCGTCATTAGCTGGGCAATAAAGCGGCACGGCCGGGCCAGCCTTTGAAGGAAGGGCCTGTCGGCTGGGTCGGGTTGGTACAGGCAGCCCGGCAGCTCGGTTCCTCCTGCACACACTCCGGGCTGCAGCAGGTGGATGGGGCGCTGCTGGGAATGGGTCTGCTCAGGCACCCACACCCCTTCATCAGTGGCCTCCAGGAAGGTAGCAAGGGGCTTTGCGTGTCTCCTCCCAGCCAACCTGGGCACTGCTGGGACTCAAGCACTTCTGCAGTCGTGAGTTCCCCGTTGCTGGAGAAGATCAACGAGGCTGGAAACACCTTGAGGACAGTTTGCCTGCTGGAGCCGTGTCCCCAGTTCCTGTACCAGGCGTGGCACCGTGAATGGTGTGTGAAGAAATGACTATATCAGAAGCGCAGAGCAGCTTCTAGCTCCTGGAGGGAAGCTGGACATGCTGGCCTCAGAGCCCCTTCCAGACCACTGTGTGTGCAGGGCTACGTGGCCTTGAGAAATGTCTTGGCCTTTCTGGGCCAATGTCACCTTAAATTCCGCAGATAGGCCCTGATTTCTGAGCCAGCCCATACTGGTTCCCCTGTCCCCGTCCCCTAGGGCCCTGGGAGTTTCCCCATTTGCCTACCCGCTCCTCCGGCCACCAGCACCAGCCCTCCATGGCAACCAGAGAGCCCAGGGAAACGGAGTGTGTAGGCAGAGTGAGGAGGGAGCAGGGCTGTCCACACCACTCTCTCAGTTCGCCTTGACCTGGGCTCCAGGTCAAGAGCAGCTCTAGGGGTTAGGGTTCTTGGTTCCAGATAGGTCCCTTGGGGGCTCAGACCATGCCTCCTCTGTCTCCCCAAAGTCTCAGAGGGGAAGCTGCTTCCTGAAGGAGAGAGGGTGGTCCAGCCAGGGACTGCAGGGTCAGGGTTCAGGTAGGACTGGGATGCGTGCCAGCCTAGGGAGGGTGCCCTCTGTAGCTTCCACCCCGGTCTGGGCCCCATTCATCGTGGTCAGCAGAGCCATGAGGCTTTACTAGGGTCAGGGAGGCTGAGCGCCTCAAAAGGGTGAGCCTCCAACTCGTGGGGGTTGTGCAGCGGAGGGAGGGAAGGGAACTGAGCACACTCATTGGAAGGATGGTGACAGGGACTCGGAAGAGTTGCTCTTGAGGGTGGTGAGCCCCACAGATGTGGTACACAGAGCCATGGGTTCTTGGGTACACAGAACCCACAGACACATGCACAGACATGGATAGCCGAGTACATGCAATTATACACACTCACACACAAACGCTTGTGCACACAAAGTCACAGGCTCTCGCAGCCCTTCAGACACCAGAGGAATCACAGAAACACACACGGACATACACAGTCACAGACATTTGTACACACGCGGTCGCTCAGACGCCACTGCTCAGTGTCAGACCTGAGTGTTCTCACACACACACACACATGCTCACACATGCTCAGACGCAGATTCTAGCATGGACACACCAACAGCACATTATAGCTCCACAGACTTGATGCACACACACAGTGGCACGTGAGAAAAGAAATATAGATACTTGCGCACTCACATAGAAGTACACATGTACTTAGACTCTGGCACCAGTGAAAACGCACACGAATTCCTTCTCCCTCTCTCCACAGCCAGGCCTCCTATAGCAGGAGGGATTAAGACAAGAGGAGAGAAGCCCTCCCCATCCAGCAGGACTCTAACCATGTTCCTCCCCACCAGACCCTCCCCCCACCAAGCTCTCAGCTTGGAAACTCCCTGGATTTCCCACGGGGTCAGCCAACCAGAACAGGCTCAGACCTCCCAGCCCAGCTGCCCCGCCACACACCCTCCACAGCTCTGGCCAGGTGCTTCTCCATCATCCACAGCCAAGAAGCTGCCTGCTCTCCCCCGGGAAGCCCACCCTGATTAACCCCAGATCTCTCCAACATTTTTTTTTTTTTCAGACAGGGTCTCCCTCTGGTGCCCGGGCTAGAGTGCAGTGGTGTCATCATAGCTCATTGCAACCTCAAACTCCTGGGCTCCAGTCATCTTCCTTCCTCAGCCTCCCAAATAGCTGGGACTACAGGCACGCACCACCACGCCTGGCTAATTTTTCTTTCTGTCTTGTTTTTTGTAGAGACAGGGTCTCACTCTTGCTCGGGCTGGTCTCAAACTCTAGTCTCAAGCAATCCTCCTGCCTCAGCCTCCCAAAGTGCTAGGATTACAGGCGTGACCCACCGTGCCCAGCCTCCAACCTTTCTTTGACGTGGAATCCTCAGGCCTCAGGGCCTTATGGCAGGTGTGCTTGGGCCCTGCTCCCCTGCAGTTGTTCCTAAGTGTCCTGCATGCCAATGGGGTGAGACTTGGCAAGCCTGGGAAGCAGCAGGCTCAGTCTTGGGAACTGATTTTGGGAAGACAAGTCCAGTCTACATGAGCAGAATCAGACAGAAGATGGCTAATCCTGATATGGGGTGCAGGGAGGGGTGCCCGTCCTCCATCACACTGGGGCTCCTGAGGGTGGGAAAATGGTCTTCGTTCTCCCTGGGGTCCCCAGGGTCTTGCTCCAGCCTGGAGCATGGCAGACATTGGAGCCAGGGAGTTTCATTCCCAACCAGGGCTGCTTCTGTCTCAAAGTAGCCCAGCCCAGGGCAGAGCTCAGCAGCACACAGTGAACTGGTTCTGACCTCCAGTCTCCAGAGGTACAGAGCTTCCTCTGGCCCCAGCCTGTTTAAGCATCCAGCTACAGCTTGTCCAGGCCAGAGCCCAGCCCAGCTCCATCTGCAAGCCTGAAATGAGGGTGCTGGAGTACGTGGGATCAAACCTCCAGACAGAAGTCCTTTCCAAGGGAGCAGAGCCAACACTGCAGCAGCTGGAGTTGAGGCTAGACACCAAGACAGATTTTCTGCATCCAGGAGAG